CCAATTGACCAGCCAGTGGTTCATTGTGTCAGTCGCTCACTTGAGTTGGTCGCCCTCTTGCAAGATGGGTCTTAAAATAGGGGGCCTCCAAAATAATGGGTTTCGCCAAACTAGGGTCAGAACCAGGCACGCCCAGATCCACAAATGGTGTGCTGTGAACCGACTTCTGCGTGGTCTTCTTTCGCCAGGAACTCTTTGTGCCGCTAAAAAGAATATCCTGGTGCTTGTGGATGGCACCAATCTCATGAGACTTGGCTTAGCGGTTCCCAGCCGTGGGACTTTGACATGTTCTCCTTTCTTGAGGGCATCCCAAGATGTTTGTTTCCCTTTTCGCTTAAAACCACAAGGGTATCAACTCAAAGAGAAAAGATAGTTCACCTTTTAAGGGATCAACGGACCACTTTCGGTTGCTATGAAGAACTCATGCGGGCACACCGCCAGTTGCACCAGTTGGGATGTGAAGCCTTACTGGAGTTTCTGAAAATAGGGGCAAAATAGGGGTCCTCCCGGAAAAGGATGTTCGCGCTGGTTGAAAGATCACCACTGTGTCAAGGAACCTGGGGCTTAGGCTTCTCTGGGCTAGTTGTTCACTCCCTGCAAACCATCAAATATGTTGCTACATGGTTGCTACCTAATTGAAGATCGCGGACACTTCATTGTTTAAGCAGCTGTTGCTTCAAAAACTCTGTTTGGATCCTTTGGATTCATGTGTGCCCGGGGCAATGGTTGTCTAAACACCTGGCATGATCCAAATCAGTTTCAAGTTGAAAAGGGGAAACGGCGACACCGGCTGAGCTGTTGGCTTTCAGGGCGCGACAGGATCCATCGGCATTTTCCGGTTGCCTCAACCGTTTTCCGGGGTAGTCTGTCGGAATGTGCCCAAACGATCCAAAGCTTCCGTATGCGGGACTGGAAGGCCGGAAAGCTCCAAAGACCCCAGCAAGGGTTGCAAAACGTCGATTCTGTGGAAGCCGAAGGACCCATTTACACAAAGGGCTTGGATCAACCGTTAAAGGCACAACCATGTTACCCCCAAGCATCCTGGAAATGGACAGATGGGGTCCTAAAAGGGTTATCAGCACGCGAAACTCACTGTCCTTTGGGTCTCCCAGCACGGGTATAAAGCTGTACAAAGGCCTTTCTGAATTGCTACAATCGTCAAACCAGGAATCGAATCGCCCACTACACCGCATTTTCTTGATTCCCAGACTAATCAACCCAGCTTGCTCAAATACGGGGGGCCTTCCCCTAAAGTAACGAACCCCCACTACCAGGGACACTCCCACATCAAAAAATACACCTGTATTAATTCACATTTGACTTTCATGAAAATCCCAACCATGCTTTGGAACAACCCAAAGCACCCCTGAAACGACCGGGCTTGCTGCAATGGAACCCTTCCTCTCCCTTCGCATCTCTCGCCTGGGGTCCCCCAGGCGCAGAGTGGCCTGGTTCTGGGCATCCACCCAAGACCGCACTGCCGGGGAGTCCAACCTGAGACTCGCCGCATGGCTCGGCCGAAAGTTGGACGGTTAGCGGTTGCAGAGGGGGAAAGGGAAGGTGGGGCGTGTCTCCAAAGAATGCTCGACCAGAATTGGTCCCTCTATTTCAACACTCATTGCTACGGTTGCAAAAAACAACAATATCTGTGATACAGAATGCCCATGCCCATGACTACTTTATCACTTCCCTCAGGCTGTTTGAAAGAACTGCGGTAGGTCAGGGTATCAGGAACGCAGCTGGCTCGATCGGAACAAAGGTAGCAAAGGGGAACCCTGAAAAAGGCGAACCAAGGGAAACCTCTAAGAGCCAGCTAAAAACACCACATGGACATATTCCGCCTAGGCGGAATAAGGGACGTATATTGAGGAATGTACCCTGTAGACATGGATAACTACTAATTTTGGGGCATGTCCATTTGGGGTATGCAAGTTGGTCCTTAGAGAACCAATCGAAGCTGTTCCACTCAAACGCGTACAAATATCTCGGACCAAGGTCAGGAATCGAGGCCGAAAGGATTGCTCTGCTCGGCTGAAGGTGAGAAAATCCAATCTATGCTGATCCTGTATCTAAGTGGAAGAAGGGGAAGTTTGAAGTCGTCAAGTTCAGGAAGCCTCTGACATGGGCCCCCATCCTTTGGCATTTGGGGTGTGCGCACTGTCTCAGCTTTACAGCTCTGTTTGGGAGCCGTCTCTGTCCAAACAATCCTCTGATCTCGGATTATTTAGTGGCTTTTGACAAACGCGGGCGGCCACCTCCCTTGTTGGATGGTTGAAATGGAGGAACCAAACGGAAAAAAAAGAAGAAAAAGCACGTAATTGGAAGGGGCTGCGACTTGTTGGGACTTATCCTTCCTCATATGTTTCGGTCGGAACTCTAGTGAGTCACATCCTTCCAAGTGAACGTACTGGAACTGTTGACTGCCCCTCAGTAGCGGCCTATACCTGTGCCATTTCAGCGCAACAAGCTTCCCCGCACTAGGATCCGGCAAAGCCGGATTAAAACGTCCCAGGTTCTGGCATTGGATTCATGATGCGTTCCCCACATTGAGGGAACCCCTCATGAGTTGATGTTCGAACACTCCCGGCATCTTGCCACATGCAACAAAGGGCATAAACAAATAGCAACGCTATTTGAGCAGCTTCCTTCTGCTGGCAAGCCTGATGTTCAAAATGGATCCCAAAGGGTGTTTCTCAAAATAGGGGTTCCCTTTTCAAGCAGACTGACCACCAGAAGGCGTCCGAAACTAATTTTGAGAGAAAGACCCATAAAAAATATTGTTGAGGGGGGTGGGCCACAAAATGGGGACCTCTCTTGGTGTCATTGAAGCCGACAACCGAAATGGCAACCTATGGTTTGCGAACAAAATGGTCCAAGCAAAATTGGTGTAACTCTCCTTTAAAGCAGCTCGAGAAGGGTGCCCTCGAACAAGACAAATGAGACCGGTATGAATCGAAAACTGGGGGACCCTGTGGTGGACATGATTTGCATGGAAATGTATGTCCGACAACCATTTAGGAGGGTAGTCCCCGTTAAGACTCCTAGCAGGAAAGCTTGCCACCTGCATCTCAGCAGCTCTTCCAACCAGGACAGCGGATCATCCGGGTCAGAGGCCTTCTCTTCGGTCGCAACCTCGCGGCTGAGGGAAACACCCTCGAAATGCTGGGAACGGCAAGGCGACTTAGCATATGGCAACATGGCAACATGGCCTTGTGGGCTGCTTGGAACAACGGGACCTGCCCAGCACTAAGAAGTCTGGGGTGAAACTAGGATTGGCCCCAGCTTGATTGTCAACTGACAAGGGCCTCAGGATTTCTGGTCTAAAATCCCAGGATTTGGAGCTTGCCCCCCATGTCCCGAGCCCCAAATGGACCATGGATTGCTGGATTGCTGGATGCGTTGCCGATTTGCCTGCTGCCAAGTCTCAGAAACCCCCGCGCGCGGCGCCCGACGACGATGATCACGTCTAAGGTGTGGCCCCAGGCCAAAAGCCTCGGGAAACGTCTCCGAAGGGACCCCACTTTGATGTGGTCTCAAAATAGAGGAACCCCGAGGAAAGGTGGGGTTTCCTTTTGGTTTCCTTTGAAATCAACCCCCAGAATGCTCACAAAAAACTTGAGACAAAGCCCTGTTGGTTGGCACAAAGCCATGCCCAGATTTCTGTTGGACAAAAATCAAACAAACTCCCAGATTTCCCCGAAGTATCACCAGACTCTTCAAAGCACCACATTGGTGCTACTGGTACCTTAATCGCGAAACGGTGCATCCTTTACGCCGCATAAGGATTAGTGCCAAAATGGGAGGATTGCCCAGCTCCACTGGGCAGCTCCCCTCAGCAGCTGATGGGAGTAGAATTGATGCCACTCCCACAGCGAGGGAGGAATCCTCCCACCTCACCGGATGCCCTCCCGGCATCATGGGTGAGGAAGGAAAGTAGCGAAGATCAGCTTGATCAATTCGCTTTCGACTGAGGGGAAGACCCGGTTCTCAGTCGGAAATTGCGGGTCCGGATGAGTAAGTTCATCCGCCCATGTGTTAAAGTCGCGCTTCACATGCGACGGTCCTAACATGACCTGGTGGTCATGCAGTGTTAACACAATTTCCATGAGGATGGCCGCATTGGGCATCCTGCGAGTGGAATCGTTAAGCAGGGAGAAAACGTTTCCCTGGTTATCACTAGCAACCAGAATCCTAGTGTGAGAAGCCGAGCCGGCTGCACAAAGCAGAACAGCCCTCACCAAAAGGAGGAGGCCGAAGAGCTCCAAGGCCGCTATCGCCCGCTGCGGGTCCCCAGTAGTGAAGGCCCACGGCTCGCCCTCCGGTGTGATTCTGTGTTGGAACCACTTCACTCGGGACTTGTCGGGGTTGGGCACGTCCGAGCACCAACCACCAACCCATGCATGGTCCGCCTGTTTGCCAGCTCCCGCATCAGATGCCCCCGTCCATGGAAGTGTGGGAAATGGAGATGCCAGTGGGAACCTCTGGTTGAAGAGCTTCCCCAGAAGGATGGCCAGAGCACGAACCAGCTTCGGTGGCCTGCCCGAAGTGGTGCAGGCCTTCTTCCAGCTCCAAAAGGGCTGGAGGAAAGGTTTCGTCAATGGACACGCCGAAGTAGCCCATTGAATCCGGCCCAGGGCTTGTTCCACCTCCTTGCTGGTAAAGATGTCCCCCTGGGCCAGCCGTTTGAGAGTGGCCAGGATTATGACGTGCTTGACTGGAGCCAGCAGCACACAGGGCGTGATTGGGTCCACCACGAATCCCAACCAGGTCTTGACCGGGGAGAGCGCCGTCTTCTTCCAAGAAAGCGGGACTCCCAGCGCCAGAAGAGTGGCCAGGATGGCTGTGGCGTCCCAGTCCGCCCTGCTGCATCTGAGGACCCAGCAGTAGTCGTCCACAAAGACTAAGTGCCAGTCCACCTGAGGGAAGATGTAGTACAAGAGTCTGAGCCGCGAGGGCGTTGTGCACGCTGGTTCTGCCGTCCCCATCCTTGTTCCGCCGAGGATGGCCGCCACCTGGCCTGTCCCCCCCCTGTGTCAGGGCCCTCGGCACCTGCAGGAGGGGGCTTCTGTGCCTCCTTGGGGCGTTTGCGCCCCTTCTCGCCCCCCCGGGCCTTATCAGGGCCCTCGGCACCTGAGGCCTCCCGGGGGGTAGGGGTCAGCGCCCCTAGTCAACCCGGGCAGTCCTGCGGGAGGTGGTCCCCCAGGCAGATGCGGCCCATTGCCAGGATGTGGTTGCACTTGTGGGTGCGGCCGCAGTTGCCCGGGCAGCGCCCGCGCATCCAGTTGTTACAGAACTGGTTCCCTTTCGGGTCGGTGGCTGCCTGCTTGTTACCGCCCCGGGACGCCTGATTGTTCGGGTGGGGGGTCTTACCCTTCCCTTTGTTCCCAGGCTTGCCCTTGGGACTTCCCCTTGCCCTTGGACTTGTTCTTGCCATTCTGAGGTGGTGCGTAGTCCATGGATGTCCTGGTTGATGGGCGGCCCCTGGAAAAGGTCTTGATCTTCTCATAGACCTCACGTGTCCAGAACAATGTGTCCTGCCTGACCGACAGCATGGCCGCCTTGAGGGTGTTGCCCTCATGCATCTTCTCGTGAATCTTTCGCCATGCGTTGCGTTCGGCAATTGCCAGGACGTGCCTCTGGCGGGGGAAAACGGCCCCCGATGTCCTCACCATAGAACCACTCGTACCAGCTCTCCAAGTCCTCCCGGGTGATGTCGAACTGGCCGAACTGCGGGAACGAGAGGACGCACATGAGGAGGGTGTTGCGGAACACCGCGTGCATCCTCTCGAGCTGGTGGCGAGTTTTGGGCTCGCCCCGCTCTTCCACCTCATCCTCCCAGTCCCAGCCATCAACCGTGCTCTTCTTAGTGGTCTTCCATGGCCGTTCTCCTGGCTCCGGGAGTGCGCTTACCAGGTATTTCATGGGGATGACACCGATCTCGCCTCCTGCGCAGAGCTTGAACTGGCGCTTCACCAGCTGGTCGCTTCCTTGAAGGGCCAGCTTGGGTTTGGTGAGCTTGGTCTTCTCCTCCCAAACCCTCTCCAGCTGTCCCCGTTCGCACGAGACCGTGAGATTCGGGGCGGTGTCCCCGGGCGTGTGTGGCCCGGGTCCCGCTGTTGCATGCGCCCCAACTCCCATGGATCGGTGAGCCGCGTGAACCACCTGGAACATGCGGGCCGCGATCAGCCGGGAGGTCACATCCGTGTAGTGGTGGTTGTTGGGGGCGAAGCCCAACTCCCCCGGCGCCGTCTCCCTTGCACGGTCGGGCGAGTCCCACCGGGTCGCGAGGTCCTCCATCGAGACAAAGCCCTCATCCGACAGTGTCGCTTGGATGAACCACGGGATGCGCTTGAGGACCATGAGGTTCCTGGCGGTCTTGTGGAGCTTAGCCACTGCGTCCGTGTACACTCCAGGAACTTCCTGTGGTGGTGCCACCAACTCATCTGGTGTCACCGCCATGGTGTGGGTGGGCGGGATTTCAAATCACAAGACAAAAGATCAAAAGATCCACTTGAGCCAAAATGGTGGCCCAAGTGGATACTTATTAAGAGTCAAGACAAGCGACCACCTACGGTTAACGCTTTAGCCCAGACTCTTCAAAGCACCACATTGGTGCTACTGGTACCTTAATCGCGAAACGGTGCATCCTTTACGCCGCATAAGGATTAGTGCCAAAATGGGAGGATTGCCCAGCTCCACTGCTGATGGGAGTAGAATTGATGCCATCCCCAACGGACGGATCGCATCAGCTGCCAATACCAACGGACGAGCTGGTCGTTGGGGAGGTCCTCCCTCCACGTATGCCGTGTGGTCCCGCTGTCGCATTTCAGGGCCCTCGGCACCTGTGCGTCCAGCGGTCCGGCTGCGGTCCACCTGGTGCGGACCCCGTCAATCCGCCGCCTGGGATGCCTGGGGACATCTCAGGGCCCTCGGCACCTGTGTCCCCCGGGGCACTGGCCCCCTGGGATAGGGGTGAGAACATCTCAGGGCCCTCGGCACCTGTGTCTCCCCCCTCCAGGCCTGCGCTCCCCGCTGGCCGCGGGGCTGGGCCCCTGGGGGGGGTGCCGGGGAGGGCGTATCAGGGCCCTCAGCACCTGCGCCCTCTCCCCCTGCCTCCTTGCCTTGAGGCATGGGGGGAAGCGTGTCAGGGCCCTCGGCACCTGCGCTATCCACCCCTCACTCAATTTCCGGGAGGACGACCGCCTCCTTGTCCGACTGAGTGTCCACGCTCTCGTCGGTGTCCGAGGAGAGGGAGATGGAGGCCTCGGAGTCCTGTGCTGCGTAGGGCTCCACGGCCATCCACGTGCTCGGGAAGGTGAAATGCCGGAAACATCTGGTGCATCCCAGGTACACCTCCGGCTCAGCATGGAAGTCCTGCTCCGCCAGCTCCAAAATCTTGAGCGGTCCCGGCCTCCAGCCGCAGGCCGTGGTGGCTACCACCGTCAGTGGACCCCGAGGCGGGGGCACCTCATCCGCAGCCATCTTGGTGATGGCCGGCTTGTTGGCGGGCATCACATCCCAGCTGGCATTCGAGGGCGGTGTGTCCGGGACTTCCTTGAACAAGGCCTTCGGTGAGGCCGGGCACTCCACCTTGTCCTCCCAGTCCTCATGTCCGAGGTCGACTCGGACCGCCCTTCCTGCCTCGAGTTGCATGGACGGGAGCTTCTGGGGGACCTGGTCCCAGATGGAGCACACCACGTGTCGCTTCTCCCGGGTGTAGACATCCGCCGTGGACTCCTTGAACCAGTTTCCCAGGTACTGGCGCTGGTCCCTCGGTATGTGCGCCTGGAATGCCAAATCCGGCATGAAAACCCGGAAGGAGTACCATGAGAGTTCAGCCACGTCCTTGACTGGCGCGCCCTGCTTCCCCAAGGCGTCTTTGAGCCACCTCAGGGACCTGTCTGGGGTTCCTGGGCGGGGGATGAAGCCCGTCCTGTCCTTGTTGATCGTGGGGATCAGGTAGTCCATCTCGCGGAACTCCTCCGAGGCCCTGAATCTCTTCCACCACCGCTCCAGGGGGATCCACCATCTGGCCCCCGAGAAGGAGAACAATGGGGCGATGAGCGGGACCGGGTTCCGTTTGATGGCCACTGCCGACGTGGTCTTCGTTTGCCAGGCCAGCAGCTCCAGGGTGTTGCTCGTGGACTTGACCGTCTGCGGCGAGGTGTGCTGCACGTCGTTGAAGCGCGCACTGCAGGCCAGGTTGAACCTGGCCATCGCCATGATGTACCTGTCCACTGCTTTGGTCAGCTCTGGGACCCGGTTCTCCGGCGGGGCCCCTTCTGCCCCTTGTTCCAGGGCCCAAACAATTGCCCGGGTCGGAACCACCGCCTTGCGCTGTGGCTTGACCTGGGTGTCCACCAGCGTCTCCTGGATGGCTTTCCGCTTCTCCAGGAGTTGTTTGTGTTCGTCAACGTTGAGCATGCCGAGTTTAATGGAGAGCCACTTTAAAGTGCCCCACCACTTCTGGAGCTTCGCCGGGGTGACCTCCA